ATCACTCAAGGATACTTTTGTCCGACTTTAGACAAGAAGACATGGAGTTCTTGAAAACACTATCATGGTTCCTGTAGACTGTAGAAAGTCTAATGTCATTAGATGGAGGCATAGTTGACTGCATATTTATTTTACCGTGTTCATATTGGTCAGGCAACAACATGCAAAAGGGACAATTCGTTTATGATCTAACTCTCATTAACGATACCAGTAAGCTGTAATGATTTAAAAACTAACTTCCAATTTGAAATTTATTTATGGACTAAGTTCGTCAACAGATTAGACTGGAAATGAAATTTAAAAAGGCGTCGAGTAATGAGTGAATTAAATTAAGCTTAGTTTAGATGGCGATATATTTTAATTAATTTCTGTACAATGTACGTACCTGCGTGCTTTCACTTGTCTTGGCGCAGACTAAAACCCTTCTCAACATAAAACTTGCGCTGGTGCGCGACACAATGTTTGACACAAGAAAACACTTAAGTATGCATTAACCTGTAAATAAGGTGTCCATGCGACACTGGATGCATAACAGGTAATCTGAATAAATTAACATGTTAATTGAATCTCAAAGTCTGGAAGAATATCTGCATCGCTGGCAATTAACTCTGCAAACAATTCGTAAGATATAGTTTTCGAAATTATTTGGTGAAGCTGTTGCGTACGTCGTTTTAACGACTGCGACGTATATTTGCTATTCCTCTTCCTTTCGCTGAATCTCTCCATAAGTTACAGTAAATTTTGAATGACAAATTCAATCCATATTTATACTAAATAGGACACCGAGTGAAGCATTATTGTGAAACCCATAATTTGTCTAAGCTAATGTCAGCCTTCTTCAAGATGGACAGAATCATCAAACGTACAAAAACCTATTTACATAATTTCTCCCCATTTCAGTACGAATGGCTAGCTATGGGACCGACACGAGATTTTCCTGTTTCTTAAATCTCGCCTTTCGGTTTCGGACCCAAAAGTTATCATAAGGGTATTTTTGTGAACAGTTATATCGTTCCCAGTTGAAAAATCAAGTATATAAAAACGACAAAACAGTCAGTGCTATAAAAACAAGGACAAAAATGTGCGGCAAAATTGAAGGAACTTTAGAAAAATGAATTAATGTGTCTGTACGGGATGGTACTAGAGATAGCGGAATCGCAACTAGAGAATGCGAAGATAAAACGTTAAAATAACGAAAGATACACATTACAGAATAGAATAGATTTTCAAGGGAGGGTGGAATTATCACACATTTTGTTTTTCAGCTAAATACGCAGTGATTTTTTAATAAGTAAGCTAAGCCTGTCTTTTTACAGTCAACAAGCTGATTTCTGTACTTCTGAAATTATGCTTACATCTAAAGTAATCCGGAATGATAATTCCTTGCATACAACGGACCACAGCGGATTATGTACCTTCGACAGAACTCAGATGCCTCGAGTCTGGAGATAACAGTTAAGTATATGAGACATGTGCGAATAAAATGGAGTAGTGACATTAGACATTCGTTGTTGTTGTCGTTGTGAGAAACCGAATTAATACTGTATATAGATTTTTGTGGAAATCATTTAAAAAGTGAGATTTCATATATACGATGACAGGTTTTAGACAGCATCACTAAATCTTGAGTTTTATATTCAAAACTATATTATGGAAAATAATGCAAGGTGTGTTCGCGAAACAACGTAACTCCCTGTTAAAGCTTGGTGTGACTTTCTGAAAAGACTGAATGTGTTGGAGGAGTCATTGCTAACTCAATTAAACTGTCGAGAAACGTAAGTGGTCCTCTTTTCTGTTTTAGACAGTGAAGGCTATACGCTTCTTGGAATCTCGAACGTTAAGTTATTGAATGAGGTGGCGCTGAACCGTGCCGGAAGACGAAACGTCACAATAAAAGAAAACAAAGAACCTTGAGTCACGCAAATTCGTATTTAAAAAGTGGCAGAGTTTATGTAACTAAACCTTGTTTACCAATGTGGTTTGGCTGAAACGTCAGCAATTCTAATAAAGATCATCATCTGTCTCTTTCCCTGTGTTTAAAACCATTGAATGTGAGCTAAAGGCATTAAGATGTAAAGAGTTTGACACTATATATAATATTAATGTGTACTGAAAATGACATTTA